CTCTCTCTCTCTCTCTCTCTCTCTCTCTCTCTCTCTCTCTCTCCTATCATTACAATTGAACCTGTCCGTTTCTTATGACAATATTATCTCAACAAATGAAATTTTTGATTACAAAAACAATTAAATACGGAACACACATGTGATCGCGAACACTTTCTCATCAGAGAATATTTAATGTCTGAGATAAGAAAAGTAAGACTTTATTCTAAAAGTTAATTTTTATTTATTTTTTAATAGATTTTATTTTAACAGTTAGTTTATAAGGTAATCTATCGGCGAGTTACGAGAATATTTAACGTTATAAATTGAAAATCTACAACCTATGATATTTTTTCTCGATATTTTTTCTCATTTACGAAAGAGCGATAAATCCTCTAAATTTGTAGAGGAAGTCACTGGAAAATGATTTCCTAACTTTGTGGAACTTCGAATGACAAAGCATTTTGTAAATAAATGCGATATAATTTTCAACTTTTCTATAGAACTCTTAAGTAATAAATGACGCAGAGAGTAATTAATTGTCAACGGAGAGTTTCCTAGACCACACTTTGCTGCCCCACCTCAATCAACGTCCGTTAATTTGATAGATAAATAAGGGTAGAGAATCTTGTTGAAAGGCTTATCACGATAAATCGTTCTGGTGGACATCCTTTACTCTTCAGCGCATCTAGTTGACAAAGGACACCACCAACGTCTAAATGATGCTTGAATAAATCGGTTTTGCTAATTAATTAACGTCACACTAATTAAGTAGCTTGCAATTTGTCTGTGATAATGCAAATGCATTTTGAATATTGTTTATAAAATAAATTTATATTTAAAAGCTTATTGTTTTAAATATTTTATTTGTTACTTTTGCTCGAATAGATTTTTCATTTGTTATTTTAATTTAGTTCAAATGGAGTTTTCGAAGCTTATTGTGCCAAATAATTCTTTGTTTTATTTTGATAGTACATGCATCTCATAATTATTGATTTTATAAAATACAACTTTATATCATGCAATTTTCTTTGTTCTGTCGACCTTTATACCAGAAATAGTTACGCGAAATATTTATTCTATAATTTTATATGAGAAATAATTTGCATGTAACGTACAACTGCCAATGTAAAAATTTTATTTAAAATTACAAAATTTTGCCATTTTATTTTAAATAACGAATAAATTATTTCGTCATATATGGATGAATATCATAAATTTGGATAAAAGATTGATAAGCGTGTTCGACGTATTTTTTATTTAATGATAAATATTTAAAAAAAAATAAAAATAAAGATAGAAAAAAATAGAAAAAAAATAAAATGAAAGAATATCTTGAAGTTGGAGAGCTTATGTGGCTTGTGGAGCAGATGTTACTTATTTGCAGTTTACTTTTCGCAGAGGTACGATGTTGTCGCGAATCGAAAAGAACGCTGCAAGTTGCGCACCTCATCGAAATCGATCGGACCACTGGCGCGAAATACGAGTAAAAAGAGCCGTACGGAAATGCAGGAAATTCACTGGTTAATCGTCCGTATTCAACCTTTCAGTAAATCTTCCGGGTACAAGTCTAGTTCTCTTTTAAAAGGAAACGCGTTGAGGCGGGAGGGGGACACGAAGCCGTTCGTGCATGCTCACTATTCATCTGTGATGCGAGTTTCATCCATGAGGTGATTGTAACATGAAAGAAGCTCGCTTTTATATCACGATTTACGTTCCTGGTACTTCGAAACCACATTATTTAGTAACCGGCTTATTAAAGCGACATCTCTGGATAAGGCTATTTCTAAAATATATTTTTATAATTAGCCTGCCTGTTACGATCGCTTGCTTTTATTTCCTCAAGCCATTAATGAATGAAATATGACAAAACTTTAAGGATGAAAAAACGAAAATATGTGTAGAGTATTTATTTTTCGGGACTCCTTCATCTTGTATGATAAGATATTCATCTACCTTATTATATTGCCTTCATCCGTTACATATCCGGTATTCATCAAATCTTTGCAGCATTTCCGCAACAATATCGTATCAAAGACCCGCTCTGGGATATCGCGTTTGTCACGCGAGGGGGATGCCGCGGAAAATCCGGCTTTTCCCGTGAGCTTCCTCCTTCCTTCCCCTGTCAACGGCGAGTGACGAAAGAAGAGAGTGAATAAATGGAATCGAGTAACTTCTACAACAAAGAGAACTCCGGACAGTTCTTTCTTTATTCTTACTTTTCCACGTCGTAAATCTTGAAACTCTCGACATTC